CAATTTGACTGACTGATGGGCAATTCTTCTGCCTTTAGTCTAAATTAAAACTCCATTCAGGTGAGTCAGCACCTGTTTCCTCCACCCTCTTCAAAGAGGTCGCTTTATACATTTAGAAAGATAGAGTTAGATTTTCTTGTCACAGTCTTCATTCTTGCTTGAGATCCACCAACCTCCTAAATGATCTTTTAGAAATCTGCCTCCGCTAAGATTCAGTCTTGGTGTTGTAAAGTTTTATAGGTTATGAAAAATGTGTAATGTCAGGTATCCACCATCAAAGTTATCAGCGTACAGAGGCTAGAGAAATATATTAAGCAATCCCACAAGAATGCAATCATCCAAAAACCAAATGTGGAAAATTCTACAGAACAAGTGTCCTAGTTTCTTTAAAAAGTAAATGGCATGGAAAAATGGGGGAGAGGGAAACTGTTGTATATTAAGAGAGGCTTATGAGACACATTAACCTGTTGCTCCATGAGGGCTTTCCCTAGATCTTGATTTGAACTAACCAACTGTCAAAGAGACTTTTTTTTTTCTTTTTAAAATTTTTGGCAGTGTGACATGCGGGATCTTAGTTCCCTGACCAGGGGTTGAACCTATATATCCCCTGCACTGGAAACGTTGAGGCTTAACTACTGGATCCCTAGGTAAGTTACAAAGAGACAACTTTTGAGATAAGCCAGTTAAGCAACACATTGAAAGTGGACATGTGGATTCATTTCAAATGTGGTTGGGGAGAAAGACCCAAGTAGGAGTTTGTATTCCTGGTTTGACTGGGAAGAAAAACAAAGGCAAGAATAGCTTTATCTCAGTAATGTTAGCAACACATTTTTTCAGTTTCTGTAGGAGGAAAACCAAGCTTGGAATAGCTTCAAGAGCAGCAGCCACATCACTCCCCAAGACCCTGGGATATGCCCAGTGGGAGAGTGGAGACAAAGGGACGCAACTATCTTTTCCTTCACTTACCTGGTAAATTGCTGCTCATCCTTAGCACTCCTCTTCCAGGAAGTCTTCCTGGTTTGCCTTACTGCAATAGCCCACCCCATCCCCCAAGAGCCTCCCTGTGCTTTCCTACTCAGAGCCCCATCAAGGCTTACTCTGTGACACTGAAGCTGGGTCTTGTGGGATGAGAAAGCNCCTTCTTAAACAAACCCGGGACCAGGGAGAGGAGACGGAAGCTTGGGCAGGCCACCGGCTTCTCCCCAGCTCTCTTGCTGTCCTCAGGAGCCTTTGCTTCAATAAAATTGCTCGGGGTCATTCCCAGCGAAGCAGCTTCCTCTCTGCTCTGACACATCCGGGCCTGGCTGGGAGAAGCACCACGGGTCACCCCAAAGACTAGAACCACTGCCCTCCACAGCCCAGGACAGGAGAACAAACGCTGGGGATGCAGCACCCATAGCCCAGCTCCATCTGCCTGGTGAGGGGAACGCCCCTTTGCTGGTGGGGAAGGGAAGTTCTGCTCTATGTTCTCAACCCTGTGCCCCCCACCCCACCCCCAAATAAACCTGAGCCCCACTTGCAGTTGTCTGGAGATGAGCAAGCTGCACCTGTGAATGGCCTCCTGTGCCTGCCTGCCCCACCTCCTCCAGATTCTCTGTCTTTCCGCCCGTGATGCCCTCGTCCGTCACCGGGCCCCTGCCCTTTGACCTGTTGCAGCCTTAGGAGGGGACAGTGCTCAGGCTGCAGGAGGAAGGTCACTTCCAGGGACCCAGGACCCTGTCCCAGTTGCTCTGCCCGTGAGAGCCCCAGGACCTGAGGACTACACCATGGCCATCCTCACTTACCATCGACCCTCCCCCCCCACTGTGCCCCCAAACTGGGCTCTAGAACATTCTGAGCATGTCTTTCAAGTGGCTGCTACCACTCACTGGAAATGGAAGTGATTTTCCTGGTACCACACCTGTCCACGGTGTGGTATGTTTCTCTACCAGCTTTCTTGACTCAATGTCAGGCTCTGTCCCCCCTGAGGGCTGCCCCAGCCTTGGTCACGATTTTTAGCCAGAGCTCCTCCTTGTCCGGGGTGCCTGGCAGTTGTTCCCCCGAAGCCCACACGAGGGCGCCTGACACCACAAAGCTCAGACACCAGTATCTGCTTGGGGTCGCGCTCCCCTCCACAGTGACTTACAGCTCTCAGCTCTGGGCGCCCTGTTTCCCAGGGCCTAGCAGATGCCTGGAGCCCAGGAAACAGATCTCCAAGCTCCCACCCACCTGCAGGTCCCAGGACCCCCTGGTGCAGACCCACCTCCCTCCCTGGTGGCCTTGGCCCCCAGGAAAGAGGCTAAGCAAGGGGTGCAGGGGAGCCAGCAGAACCCCCCAGCTCACTTCACTCCTCTCCTCCCAAGACCCCGCTGAGCTCCTTTCCTGCCAACGCCCCCTCGCCCCACCCCATTCACCCCATCAACTGTTCAGGCCCGCAGCAGAGCCAGCCCCGCTAACAGACAAGCTCGGTTCGCACGACTCCTCTGCTAACACCGGGCTGAGCCCTGAGTTCGCTCTTCTGTGACATTTCTGTCCCTTGGATGTGCCAAGGGTGGTGTGGGGCAAGTCTCATGCCTCACCCCCCCGCCCCCCCAAAACCACCCAATAAAGGAAACAGGAGAACTAACCATCAGCCACATGAACTCACTGGTGCCTCTCCTCCCCGCAGGCTGCCTGCCACCAGCAGCCCTCCAGGGGCAGCATTCTGCAGGCCAAGGCTCCTCCCTGGAGTGCCACCCCACCCCCACCCCCCAGCGCCTGGCAACTAGTAGGTGCTCAGCCAATTTGTAAGGAGAAGCTCCGAACATGCAGGAGAGTTGAAAGAACAAGTACACTGTTCACTGAAGATTCAACAATGAATGTTGTTACCTGGCTTGCTTCATGTGTGTATTTTTGGGAAGCCTTTTGGAATTGAGTTACAGATTTTTTCACATCATTTACCTATACAATTCAGCATCTGTTTCCTAGGAATAAGGGCCTAAAAACCTCGACATGATTAAATGGCTACTGTGCATGCTAACTCCCTTCAGTTGTGTCTGACTCTTTGCGACCCCATTGGCTATAACCTGCCAGGCTTCTCTATGGGATTTCCTGGGCAAGAACACTGGAGTGGGTTGCCATACCCTCCTCCAGGGGATCTTCCCGACCCAGGGATTGAACCTGAGTGTCTTATGTCTCCTGCATTGGTAGGCGGTTTCTTTACCACTGGTGCCAGCTGGGACTACTACATAACTAGTTTTAGTGAGGTGCCCTTTGCCTAGGAAGCTACCCTCTCCAAGTGTGCAATCCACTTGGCAATCCTCCAATAGCAACCCACTCCAGTATTCGTGCCTGGAAAATCTCACGGACAGAGGAGCCTGGTGGGGTACATTTCATGGGGTTGCAAAGTCATACATGACTTATTGACTAAACAGCCAAGTGTGCTGAGTTCTTGGCAGAGGGAGTGGGTGGAACGCAGCTCCCAGTTCCTGCCAATCCCCCCACCGCCCCCCTCGCCCTCAGAAAAGCAGAGCTCAGGAGAACCGTTTGGACGGAGGATGACAGACACCAGTTCCATCTGGGAAGCCAGGACAACCCCATCCCACCCTCTCCCAGCAGCTGGCAATCTGGGGCTGAATTCAGAGGACACGGCCACCAGCAGAGGGCTGCAGTGAGCCAGACAGGAGTGAAGTCGCTGGGGTGGGATAAACACCAGCCCCAGGAGCCTGGAATAGCACCCAGCGTGGGTTCCAGCCCGCCTCCCACCCAGCTCACCCTGGGTGCCACCAAGGCTGCCAGGCCTAAGCCACTGAAGTGGGCACATAGGTCCCCTCTGCCTGCAGGCCTAGGGGTCAGGCAAGGAGATGTTCAGGGCCAGCTTTGCTGGAGGAATTAAATATAGAACAGGGAGACACAGTTGCCAGGCAGAAGCAGGAGGTGCTGTGAATAGAACAGTGCTCTTTGCGGTGACAATGCCATGAGAGAGTTTGCTATCATGTGCCAGGGCTTCTGGGCAGATTCTCTGACCCTCACGGTGACCTCTGAGCTGTGACTTTGTTCCCACTTCACATGTGGGGCATCTGAGGTTTAGATGGGAGTCCTTTCCCCAACATGGTTCTGCCAGGCAGAGAAGCCCCAGACAGTTTAGAGCCCACGTTCCTGCCACCATGGCAACTGCAGGTTTCCGGGGTCACCATCCCACCAGCTCGGACCCAAACTCCTCTCAAGTCTTTCTCTGGAACGCAGGACGTGCTGAGGCCTTGGCTCACAGCTGCCCACCAGCCTGCAATGCCCTTGCACAAAGGTGCTTCAGCAAGCGTCTGACAGAACACGACTGCAGGGCCTTGATGGGGTCAGAGCCTGCACTGGGCAGCACATGGGGGGCGGGGGTGCGGCAGAGCACGTGCCCCCCTCCTGAGCTGCCTTTGCAGGCTCTGCAGTGCCTCTCCAGGAGTGGGTCTGGTGCAGGGAGAGGCCAGGTGGGCACTGGTACCCCCTGCCCTACTCTTCCTACCCTGCCCAGGGTGTGCCAACTCTGGTGAGCCCGGAGTGGCTGGTTCTAATTCAAGGGCTCTGAGCTGGCTCAGCTCCAAAGCAGGGCCTCTTTCTGGGCCTCAATGAAGCATGCCCGTGAGTCAGCATGGAGACTCGGCCGGAGCAACAGGAAGGGCAGGGTGCAGGATGGGGAGCCAAGGATGGTAGTGGTGGTGGGTAATGCCTGGAAGATCTCGAGTCCCTGCAGCCTCCATCGGCTGCAAGATCCTTGCCCAGCAGATCTTTCCAGAAAAGTTCTGTCACGACCACGCCACGGGTGACGACAGATTCCATGAGGCTTGAGCGGGTTTGTAAACCTGCAGGACTCCAGCCTGCCCTGCCCTGCCCTGTTCCCTCACCCAGGAATGCCCACTGAGAACCGTGTCACACACTCGTAGCCCCGACACTGTCCTGAAGGAAGGCTAAAGCAGGTGGGTGAGAGACCAGGGACAGAGACCTTCAATGCTCACTTCTTGGTTGTGTAATAATACTTGATTAAAATGAAGTCACACAGTGCATCTTTTTATTAGACATTATTTTAATACCATATCAAAACACCTTGACTAATGAAGAAAGCCTTTTCCCCCAGCTTTGAACATTTTTTAAACATTTTATAAGGTTTTTTTTTGTTTTGGATTTTAATATATAAATACAGAAACCTATCTCGCCGGAGCTGATGTCACACATGAACATCAACAGCTAAAATGTTCTCAAACAGAATGCCTGAAAACAGGGGCAGCTGTACACATCCTTTTAGTCTTTTGTCTGTCTAAGTTTTCTGGAAAAAAGAAAAAAAATACACAGGGGTCTAGGAAAAACGTTCAGGCATTTTTGCAGGACACTTGTGGTTGTTAAATCCTCTGAACTGACCAGAACCAGGAGGGAAAGAGGAAAGAGAAATGGGAAGGAGGGGGAGAACATCCTGATGGGCTCGTTTTTGGCAACGAAGTCAAGATATCAGGGTCCCCAGGGGAGAAAAGTGCAAAATCAAGCCAGAAAAATGGGGGGGGGGGATAAAACAAACAAAAAATCCAAGGCAGAGTGGTTGATGGAGAGGCCGCTGGGTGCCGGGCACAGGAGGGCTGTGAGCTCGCTCTGCGCCATCGGCACTCGAGTGGCAAGAACCCGGCTCTGTTCGGTTGTCACTGAGTGGGTTCTGGCCGGGCAGCAGACAGTGATCTGTAAACATCACGAGGGAACACACCAGTCGACACTAGACTTTTTTTTATAATTTTTTTTTTTTTTTTGTAAACACTTTAGAGACAGACCCACAATGCCTTTCAAAGGTGAAAAAGAAAATGCCCTTTCCCTCCTGGGATGAGGATGAGGGGAAGGATAGCGGGTGATTCTTTCTTCTCTCAAACTGGCTCTCATCCAATCTGGTGTCCTCGGGGAGAAAGGGGGACCATTCTCTGGAAGTCAGTGCAGGAGGGCGCCCTGTTCCCACTGCTGTCCCCAGCTCAGCTCTGCCCCAGTGTCCGAAGCCTCCTCTCAGCAACGGGGCCCTGGCTGTCCCTGTGGGGACCGGAAGATGTCAGTCGTGCTTGGTGGGCCCAGGGCCGGCCGCGTGCGTCCTGCTGAGGCCAGGCTGGGGTGCCCCCCAAACGGACGTCATGCTGGGAATCTGGACTTGCAGCTGGTGCCAGGCTCCATGCCCTCTGCCTCTTTCTTCCCTTCGCGTTTTCTTCACCCCACGTCCTCAGTTTTTGAGGTGAATGTAAAAGAGCAAATGTCCCTGAATAGTTTGACATCGTCAGCTGTTCTGGGGGTTTACTTGGGATAAATGAAACAAACCTAACAAAGAACAAAAGAAAACAAAAAAAAAACGGGAGAAAGAGGGAGAGGGAGAGAGAGCGAGAGAGAGACAGAACGGAAAGAGGCCCCTGAACCCTTGGGTGTGAGATGACGTGGGTTTTGGTTCCTCTGGGGGTGTCGTCTGTTTGGTGGAAGGGACAGGTAGGATGGGGACAGGAGAGGACATTCAGCAGTAAAGGGTGCCCGAGGGAGACACTGGCGCTCACAATGGTTACAGGGTGGGAAATGCCCTGGGCACTCCCGTTTCTGGGGAGGAAGCTGGCTGGGCTGGTCTGTGGTGCAGTCAGGGACCTGGGTTGTGGCAGCGGGGCCCCAAGTCTGGCCTGGAGGTAGCCAGAGGAGGGAAAAACCTGATGAGATGACTGCTGACAAAAGAGGCAGGGACAATGCGCCGTCCCGTTCAATGGCTGTGATGTCCACGTGGGGGTGCAAGTGAGACGTCCCCACCCCCAAAGAAGCAGTACCAACCTCCCCCCGACCCCAACCCCGGTGAGGACCTGCTCCGCCTGCCCAGGAGAACAAGGCACAGAGTCCAGTCACCTTGTTCCCCTCCACCCAGCACTTTCTGAGGCTCTTGCTGAACCTTCTCAGGGAGATTTGCCCTGAACGTCTGGATCACACTGGTCTTTCTCCACCTCCACCTCCACCCGTCCAGATTCTTCTGGACGACCATGCAAGAGTGGACTCTCAGGCTTCCCAGGAACCACTCCCACCCCACAGAAGCACTGCTGCTTAGACCCTCTTCCCCCGACCGCTTTCAGTGGGGAGGCGGGGGTTTGTGAGGGCAGCTCAGCAACTCCCCCCCAATTCCAGGGCCCCAATCACTGGCTCACCATTGAGAGGAGTCAGCAAGCGAGCCCAGCAGGGTCAGTCCGCAGGGTGTTCTGGACAAGATCTGTTCACTTCAAACCACGAGTCTATGCAACTGAGGGGGGAGACGGCAAGGGGGACGCGTCACCAGCTGAGCAGCTGCTCCTCAGGGCTGGGTCTCCGAGCAGGATTCCTACGTCTCACCCGCGAGGACCCGACACCCACTGTCTACTGGCTGGAAGAAGCAGGGCACTCGGATGGGTGCTGGCTCAGCCGGAGGCCCCATGCCGTGGGGTGGGGTGGCGTGGGCCTAGGCCCGCAGTAAGCGGGGAGCGCGGCCTCGAGAGGGACGAGGCCTCGGGGGCGTGGAGCCCGGGAAGGCGACACAGCTACTACAGAGACAGCGAGTGCGGGGGGCTGCGAGCGGCGGCCAAGCGACCGTCTCCAAGGCTTGAAGAGCAAGCAAGGCTGGTTAGCGCCCTGAGCAGGCCGTCTCCTGAGGCTTCCTCCCTGGCGGTGACGTCTCAGGAGACCCCCCGCTCTGCCTGGCTGTGGCGGGCTGCCAGCAGCCAGCCCTCCTGGGAGAAAGTGGCCCAGGGAGGGACTCAGGAGCGCCAGGCAAAGGCCGGCAGTGAAGTCCTGGAGTCATAGAAAGGGCTGTCCGAGCCGGGAGGGGGCAGAAATGGCCCCAGGATGGCTTTCTGCGAAGGAACCAGACCGGCCATTTGCATAAGTCTCCCCCAGAGCTAGAAGTCCCGTCGCCGGTTCTAGTCAGCGTCTCATAGGACGCTGGCGGCCTGGCGCCGGCCCGGGCCCAGACCCAGACCCTCCCCGCACCAGCCACGTCCGCCTTCGGCCCCGTGGCCGTCGGCCCCAGTTAGGCTTCAGGAAAGCCTGCGTCAGGAAGCAGTTCCAAGGCCCGAGGGGCCGAGGGCAGTGGAGGCCACGGATGGCACGGGGCGGCCTCCGGTCCTGAGTGAGGAGTCTTTTTTCCAGTTGGAAACAAGAACGACGCTCGAGCTGGAGCTGGAGGACAAATCTCGGCCTTGCTAATTACGGCGGCGCCCGCCCCACAGGTAGTGAATATTTCCGCCCACGGGCCTCTGGAGAGAGGGGCGGGGCCTGGGAGGAGCCTCCGGGCCGAGGGGCGGGGCCTGGAGCTGCGGGGCGGGGCGGGGCGGGGCAGCCAGCACCTCCCTCCGAGCTGGCCCCGCGACACAGACCCGGGTCTGCACACTGCGGAGCATGGGTGGGGCTCTTGGAGACGCACGGAGACCCAACCTTCCAGGAGGCTAGGGATCTACCGGCCTCCGCGGCTCTGCGCCTCGCGCGTCCAGACGTCCCCGCCTGCGGCCTCTGCCTCGACCCCGCTCAGGGTCCTTGTGACGGCCGGCTCTTTCCTCCCACCACGGGGAAGGAGCCCTCTGGTGTCTGGGTGTGGCTGAGCTGGGCCTGCCGGCTCCCTCGTACCTTTTGTGATAAATGCACAGGCAGGGCAGCCTGGCTATCGTGTCCCCCTGAAGCAGCTCCTCCAGGCAGATCACACACTCACCCGCGTCTTTAGTCAGCACGTCATCTGCAGAGAGGGGACGGTGGGAGAGGACGGGGGTCAGTCGCCGGCTGTCAGGAGTCTGAGAGCCGGTTGAGACGGCGTGGGCCGCCTGAGTGAGCCAAAGTCCACGGCGGACCTTGACGTGAAGGTCCTCACTGCGGACACCAGACATGTACACCACACACCAACTATCTGAGGACAAGATGGGGTTAACTACCAAATCCGCAGCCCAGGAGACAGAGGATGAAGATGAGCGGGGGAGGGAGTCCTGGGAGCGGGGCAGCATGAGACAGACTGGCTCCCTGGACAGACGCTCTCCCTAAACACACACAGGCCAGGGACTGATTCCTGGTTCCGGGGGAAAACGGTGATGGAGAGCTGGACTAGGCAAGAATGGGGAGAAAGAGGCACTCTAGCAGGATTTTTCAGGACACTACACAGGATTATTCACAACGAGTGGGAAATGTCCACCAGCTGATGGAGAAATGAACCGTGTGGACCCACACAATGGAGTATCACTGAGCCAGGAAAGGTGAAGGGCTGATGCGGGCTGCAACACGGACGCACCTTGAAAACACGGTGCCGAGTGAAGGAAGCTAGACGCAAAAGGCCACCGGCTGTATGATTCCCTTTGTGCAAAATGTCCAGAGGAGGAAAATTTAGAGAAAAAGTTAGGTCAGGGAGCACTGGAGAGTGAGTGCTTCATGAGTAAGGGATTTTCCTTTTTCTTTTTTTTTGTGGTAACATAAGATGTACCCTCTAGATAAAAATGTAAGAGTACAGAACACTACTGCTATAGGCATCATGTTGCAGAGCAGATCTCTAACCTTATTCATCTTACGTAACTGCAATTTTCTACCTGTTGAATAGCAATTGCCTGTTTTGCTCTCCTCTGCCATCCACCCTTCTGCTCTCCAGTTCTATGGAGCTGACTGTTGACTCCTTTAGATCCTTTATTTAAGTGGAATCATACAACAAGGTCCTTCTGGGGTGATGAAATGTTTGCAACTAGACAGAGACGGTGGTTGCACAATGTTGTGAATGTCCTAAATGCTGCCACACTGTTACTTGCATGTTAAACACATTTTAACTCTATTAAATAGCTTGAATAAAAAGACACCTTAAGCTCCCACCAGAAAAGAATGAATGGAAGGAAGCTGCCGGGCACCATGGCCCTGGGTGAAGCCTTAAGCACAACAGCAGGAGCAGAGCTGGGGGCCAAACCAACACCCTCCAGGACATTTCTGTGACATTCTGGGCACTGGCGACTCAAGTGAATAAGCCACGGTCTCAGGATTCAAGAAACTCACAGCCCAGCAGGGGCAGCTGAACAAGACGGAAATGAACAGCACAGGGATTCCTGGAAGTCTCAGGACGCACACAGATCCAGATGTGAAAAGTGTGGGAGACGCCTGGGTGGGGTGGGGACGGCTCAGGGAGGGGTGTTCCAGGCGAGGGGACAGCGTCTGTGCACCTGGGTGGGAAGGATGCTACTGCAGAGTTGTGGGGCCACGGGGGGAGGTGAGACCAACATCCTAAGGACGGGCTTGGGACCTGCATTCTGCTTCGAGGCCTGGGCTTCCTCTGGTTCGATGAGGGGCCCTGGAGTCATGCTCTGATCACATCTGGCCTTCTGAAACCACTGGGAGTGGCTAGAAGAGCCCTGGGGGGGTGGGGGGGGGAGCCTGCTCCGGAGGCTGACGCAGCACCGCAGCAGAGGGGAACTCAAGGCCAGTGCCAGCACTGGGGGCGGGAGGATGACACAAACTGGGGCAGCTGGACAAACTTGGGGGGGGGGGCGCTCGTCACGACAAGAGGGAGCCCAGGAGGAGGGCTGACTTGGGCTGGGCACGATGAACTCAGCGCTGGGTGGGAGGTGCTGAGCAGGAGTCTCCCCAGGGACATGGCCACGGAAACCTCCTGGAGTCCACTCAAGTCCAGATCTGGGGTTTAGAGGAGAGATGTGGGCCACAGCGGGAGGTGGGGGATACAGAGCTTAGACAAACCCAGAGAGGGCAGACGACTGAACCAGGTGAACTCTAGTATTTGAAAGGCAGGTGAAAAGAGGTGAAGTCAGCAAAAGGCTACCCAGACGTTCTCAAAACCACAGAAGAAATATCCAGAAGCTGGCTTCCAAATGTGAAAAGAGCAGAGCCTGAAGCTGGAGAATTCCTCACTCCTGAAATATTTTAATTGATTGTGGACACAGCCAGGGATACACACTCAGATTTCATGTGTGCGTGTGTTCAATGAGCCGCAGGATCTTACGAGCCAGGCAGGCACCTGGTTTTATTCCTGATTGGCAAACGGGGACAATACGGCCAGAGAACCAGACACCCTGCTGAAGTCAGAGAGCTGGTGAATGGGAGCGGGCCGGGGACCCTGGGAGCTCAGGGAAGCAGGCAGTGCCCACACACAGCACAGAGCCCAGGAAGCAGCACCTCCCCACCTCAGAAGGCAGGAAGAGCCCAAATCCAGCAACAGGTCTGAGTGGGTTGAGTAAAACTTCCTGTCCCAATCCCCCAGGCGCTAGGAATCAGCAGCCCCAGGTGTCCCTGGATGCCCAGCAGGGGAGGAAACATGGCTGAAGCTAACGCCTGCCCACCACCCAGATCCTACAGGACTTCTGCTCTCTCATGCTAGGAGCCCACCGCCAGCTGCCAGGGGACCTTGCCGTCCAAAGGAGAGGACCCCGAGCCACGCTGAGATTACTATGCAGATGGACTCTGATGCCTCTGGGCTGGGCACCCCAAGGTCCCCAGAGCAGGGGGGCCTGACTGATCCTGGTCGATGAGAACACAGAACCAAGCTGTTCTTTCTCCTCAAGCCCCATAAGCCCCAGCTTCCTGACACCGTGTGCAAAGCCAGGCGAGGGGTGGTGCTGACAGGGCCAACGCTAGGTTCCAACGCAGACCACAGAAGCAGCCCAGGGTGGTGGGCAGTGCGCTCCCCTCCTGCTGCCGGGGAGGGGGTAGGAGGTGACGGCGCACTTCTGCCTGGTCTGGTCCCCGACAGCTGCTGTTCATCAAAGAGGAGCGGCTGAGGAGGAGGAGAAGAGGGAGCCCTCACTTCTCTGGGACCAGCTGCACGCCACAAGTGTCACACACACAGCCTGCTGAACCCTGAAGACCCTGCAGGGTCAGGGCTGCAGCTGAGGCTGCGGGTAAGCGGCAAGGATCCCCGCGCTGCTCCTTCCACTTGGCCAACCTGCTCCTGTCCTTCAGAGACTAGGCGACAGTCTCTGCTCTGGGGCTGGAAACCACCACCCACCTCACCGAGGGCTCCAGCCCGCCCTCCGGGTGGGTGCAGGAGCCTGGCTGCAGGGAGCGCAGGCCCGACATCGCCTGGTGGGACTGCCAGCGCTGCCCAGGCGGGCTGGGCTTCCATCAAGACAAGCGGAGGGGGGCCCTCAGGCCCGAGGGGCTTCAAGTTCACAGAGGCTGCCCTGGGGGGCCCCTCAGCCCCCTCTTCCCAGGGCTCCCTCTCCCCCACCTCATGCACCGGCTGCCAGGAGCCCTCTCCTGCCGTCCCCCCTGCAGGAAGGGCGCCTGCATAGACACCCCCAGGCAGACCCCAGGCCGACAGACTCAGTTGCTACTAGCATCAGTAATAGCTCCCAGCAGCGCCCCCACTGGCTTGGGCAAACTCCCCAGCCAGGACCTGGCTCCCCAAGACCCGAGAAAAGGCACTTCCATCCCAACCACGGGGTCCCTGAGAGCAGAGACACAGGCCAAACAAGCACCATGGCACAGGTCTGCTGGCGGTGGGTAAACGAGCAGGAGGCACCACTGCTTTGAGGGCAGCCAGAGTCCCTTTCCTTTAAAGAAATCTTGTGTGACATTCAGCATTTAGCTGGAGGCAATGACCTTTGGCCGAGAGGAGGGGTGGGCAGGCAGGACCTAAGAAGCAGGGCATGGGTCTGCGCCCCAGAAGAAAGCTGAGCAGACAGGAGCTTTTAAAGCTGCTCTGACAGCCACCAAGCTCGCTCAACACTGCTGGCAAAAGAGCCTGCCACACGCCAGGCTCTCCCAGAGCCAAGGAGCCCTGCTGGTCACGGAATTGGGGCCTCCTCGGTCCTAGGACTGTGACCCTTCTGTTCACGGCAGAACCAGGCCCCTCACCTCCAGATTCACTCTACTGGCTGACCAACATGATGGTCAAAACCTGAGTGCGTGTTCTTGAGGATGCGACTTGCCCCAGTCTCAGAACCACAGAGAGACCTTGGAAAGGGATAGAAATTTTAAGATCCCGTCAAGCTGGCCACATGTATCCAAGCAAACGGGTCCCCAGACTCCATCCTCACCCTTGAGGCATCCATCCTGGGCTCAGAGCTACCCACAGAGGAGAAGAGAGGACAGGAGACTCTGTGCTCTGGGTGCACCCCCACCGGGCCACCGGGTCACCCGGACTCACGGGCCAGGAGCCCGTGTGGGAGCACCAGCTCCTGGTCTTCTCCTGAGCACTGGGTGAACCAGTTAAACTACTCTTGCCTTTCCTAAACTGGCCTTTTAAAAAAAAATCTGGCAGGCAGCTACTGGAGGCCTTCTAACCTACGGCTCAGGCCAACACTCATAATAAGAAAAATATTACTTTCTATCAGCCTCATTTAGGAGGTTTCTTTTTTCCCCCACTCTGTGGTGGTTAACTAAATTTCACCTTACATAACTGCTATCAATTTCCTAAACATTTCCCCAACTGGTGCTAGCATCTACAGAAAGGGTGTGTGTGTGTAGATGGGGAATCTCCCGGGAATGACCAGAAATTTCAGTGAATCTTCCTTTCTATATCTCAGAACAGGCCCCAGACCAGCCCTGGAGACTCACACTCCATATACAGACCCCAGGTGGCAAATACCTTCCTCAAGCCTGGAAGGTTTAGGTGTCCTTAGACAGACTGCACGTGTTAACAGTACACGCAGAGGGGTGGGGCACCTTCTTCACCTTAAGACAAATTCCACTGATGGGACCAGAAGCAACACACTGCTCTTTGCCTCTGGTGATTAAGGACTGGCTTTTGCAAAAAAGATCCTCCGGTTCACACTCACACACACACACCCCCTCTCACGCACACCTTCCCCTCCCCTGGCCCCGAAGAGATGGTTTTGCAACTGTGTGTATGTCAGTCTCTCAACTGTGTCTGACTCTTTGAGACCTCATGGACTGTAGCCCACCGGGC